TGACCTCCAGCTTGTTCTGTCGACTGGAGGGACCCCACGACCAGCTCTCCCGCCTCTCTGGCCTTCTTCCGGTGAACGACGGGAATGGCACCTTCGCTGGGTTCCTGAGGTAGAACCACTCGCCATGCCACCCCCGATTGGAGTTGCAGGGGGAATACGCGGGATAGGAGCCCGATGGCCTCGGCTTCTTCTACAAGGTGAAGCCCCCAACCTACGCGGTTCTAGATGGCTTCCCCTCCGACAAGGCTCGCTCGGTGAAGATCCGCTAGAAGAGGTCCACGTGTGGCTCCATCCTAAGGAAGGCCTCGTAGACGGTGACAAAACTAGCAACATGCAACACCCCAGTCAGATTGAGGTGCTGCAGCTCTATGCCCCACTCGTTGAGGAGCCCGCGCAAGAACCAGTGCGTGGGATATCCAAGCCCGCGCTCGTGGAAGGCGAGGAAGGAGACAACCTTGTCAGCTCGTGGTCGCAGAACAGCTTCCCCTAGCACAAGAGCCCTCCAATATGCCACCTCCTACGGCGGGAGTAACCCCTTCTCGGCGAAGGCGGCCAGCACCACCTCATCTACGTTGGATGGCCTCCAGTTCGACATTGAGCTCTGGATTCACGAACGAATCCGTGAGTTCTCCTCTCCCTCGCTTTACCCTCTCTCTCCTAGAAACCGCCATGGCGCACGAACGAGCTTGGCAAGAAAATAGAAGGAGGAGAGGCGGTGGGTGGAGAAAGGCAAAGGAATGGGATGAAGACACTCTCAGTTCCCCTATTTAATGCGGATGGGCATGCGGTGGGACGTGTCCTGACTGATGGACACGCCCTGCCCAACGAAACATTGCCCGATTAAAATGGGATGTGGCCTAGGTTGGGCCCACCACTACCACAACCCAGGCATAGGAAACAAGGTGCAACTGCATGCAAATGACCCTCCACCTTCCCAGCGAGGGTTTGGAAGGGCCCACCGATGGGATCTCCGTGGAGGAAAGACCAACGAGCTACCTGAGTCGATCGGACGGCTCAGGCGACCACCGAGAGACAGGTAAGGAGCTGTGGGATGCCCCATGCGGGCTACGCTGACTCTGTCACGAATGACGGACACGGATCCCATTCTGACATATCCGATAAAAACTCCTCAAACCCGCCACTCGAGTCATTAAGGTATCTTTACTAAACCTTCATACTTTATTTTATTTTCTGAATGCATAATCATTCATTCATCCTTCCTCATACACACATTCACACATTCATCCATGCAATCATTCATTCATCCCATACATCCAAAGCATTGCATATGCAATTGATGCATCACAACGCTTCGTGTTGCGTCACGAAGCGGTAGTCGCCTCATTCGACATGAGCGACGACCGACCGAGGTTTGAAGGCCAGCCCGCGAAGGGCTCGAGGCCGCCTCACATCAAACAGAGCTAGGGGAGAAAACACAGATGAGCCCCAGTGGCCCTCGCCCGATCTGCTCGGAAGCAGATAGGGTCATCTCAACTTTCTCGTTCGATCCTAACCTCGAGCCATGCCCACATAATCTCCATCGAGGGGAGGCCAGCAGGCCACCTGAGTCAGTCTTCGAAATAGCTCAGGCATCTACCGGGAGGCGGGTTAAGGAGCAGTGGAATGCCACATGAGGGCTATACCGACCCCGTTACAAATGATGGACCAGGATTCCACTCGGACATACCCATTAGAGAGCTCACCGAGTGCGTCACTCGAGCCATCGAGGCAAGCGACGTTAGCTCAGCCCCTTCGGTTGTGAAAAACCGCGGATGGGGTAACGCATGAAACTAGACCAACCCCTCGGCCACGCCTAGCACTTGGGTCCACACCCCGTCATGCCCGACCCCCTAGCCACGCCCGATGTTTGGGTTGGCGCCCGACGCCTGGGTCCGTGCTCCCGGAAATGATGGCTCAGAACGTTGGCAAGTCGAAAAATCCCCCAGACGATTCTACCCGAATCGCCCGGGGGCTACACCCACAGGGTGCGCTCGCGCGCATCCGCTGGCAAGTCAAAAAATCCCCCAGGCGATTCTACCTGAATCGCTCGGGGGCTACACCCACCGGATGCGCTCGCGCGCACCCGCTCGCAAGTCAAAAAAATCTCCCAGGTGATTTCTAGAACCACCAAGGCCACACCCCTTGCTGGGCTCTGCCTCGTCCGACCCCCGAGGGTTGGCTCTGCCTCGTTTGACCCCTGAGGGCTGGCCCCACTTCGGCTGATACCCGAGGGTAGGTTCCTCCTTGGCCGATGTTTGAGGGATGGCTCTGGCTCGCCCGACGTCTGAGGACTGGCCACGCTTCACCCGATCCCTCGGACATGGTCCCTAACAGAAGCTCGCGCCGCCGCCAACCACTACGGGCCAGAAAGTACAACCCTAAGTCAAACTTCTGACATCGTACAGAGAGCGGTCGCGTCTCAGCATGACCCGTCTCCACGACATGACGTTCTAGGGGACCCATATTGACCCACAGTGACGGACGCATGGTCACTATGCTGCCTACACCCTGTACGGCCACTGATCAGCATGCTGGTTCGTCGGTCCGGTGCCTGGGTCCATGCTCCATCACGCTCGACCCCTCGGCCACACCCGACGCATGGGTCCGCGCTCCATCGCGCCCAACGATGACTCATGATCTTACACCCATCTGTTGCTCTCGTACAACGAGTATAAACAGCCCCTTCATGACTTCACAGAAGTCCCAAAAGGGCTCGGGGGCTCCTGTCGAGTTCATAAACCTAGGGTCCCCGATGGGCCTGTTTTCCAGCAAAAGCTCGGCCCAGCAGACGACATTACAACAACGTGCGACTCCTGGGCCGGCCCAAATACCTAACGATAGGTCGGAAAAGCGATCCGATCTCCGACCGGAAGGCCTAACCAAGGAGGGGCGGACTTCGCGCTTCCGACTTCGACCGCTTTTCGACCGAAAAAGGATGGCCAAGGAGAGGACGGCCTTCGCTTCCGACTCGACCCGCTTTTTCGGGAAGGAAGGCCAAGGAGGAGGGGACGCTCGCTTCCAACTTCAACCCGCTTTTCCGACCGGGAATACACCGAACCTCTGCCTACAGCTCTTCTCCGACTGGGAATGACCGACCGGGGACGTCCGCTCGGTGAGGACCCAAGAATCAGGCAGAGCAAATAAGGCAAGGCGCTCAAGTCAACCGTAATACCGAGGACCATACCACCGGACACTGCGCAGGATCTTGCCGAGAAGCTATGCGGAAGGGATCTTTGTAACCTTTCGGACATGTCGAACATGATCGGTGTTGTGGGCGTCGACATTTGTCCTACAGTATGGTAGGCGCCGACATTTATCATACCAGAAGAACACAGTGGAGCCTGCCACATGCATCTGGACGTCAACATTATTGTGGGCGCTGACAAACTGTCTTGTACCCGACGGCGTGGACAACAAGATTAGAAAACACACACACCCTCTCTCCTAAATTTGTAAGGCCATCCCCTTCATCTATAAAAGGGGATGCGCTCTCTTCTAAAAGGAGGACGATCATTTCGACTCTCTCTTTGCTATGCTCTAGACATTCTAGGCACTCGAACAGCTCCACGGCTCTAGAACACTAAAGCTACACAGAGCATACGTTACAATACTTAACGCACGAAGGAGCTCCCGTCACTCTTGGCCCTTCGGTCCAGAGCTCGACCGGACTTTTAACACCCTCTTCTTATTTCCACTCGTTTGTAACCCCACAGTAAACTTCGAGCATCTAGGCTCAGGAATAAAGTCACCGACCGACTGAAACTGGACGTAGAACACGTTGCCTGAACCAGTATAAACCCTGTGTCATTGAGTGCTAGGCCACATCAGATCACAACGTATTACAAAACTACAAATATTCACTTGTTGGTCACTTTTCGCACCAACAGTTGGCGTCATCCGTGCGGAGGACGCCGTACGTTCACGCTTTTGGTCATCGGATGGCCCACCTTTCCGCCATCTTCGGCATGACGGGCTCAAGCGATACGACTCGCTTTGGCTCACTGGAGTTTCCCACGCTCCCACCTGTTGGAAATGTGGGTTCCTCCGATCACAACGTATGACAAAACTACAAATATTTATTTGTTGGTTATTTTTCGCACCGACAGCTTTAGTACAAATATTTTGTTGTAGCTTTAGATTTATGTTGTTTCTGTAATTAATTCGTAGCTGCAGTTTCTATGGTCCAATTATGATAAAATTTTTATGGTGGAATAATTATTGTATGCTTGAACTATAGTAAAAATTTCATACTTATTTGATCTTGTATAACTTAGTTCTAGATTTATAAATATTTTTAACAAGCATACAAGGAAATAAATCTACAGTTCAACAAAAACAACGTACAATAAATCCACAACACGTGGATCTTCAGTTGTGTGCCTGCCAAGCCAATTTTACCGAGCTTGCCACACGTCGTCATCTGAGTGGGCAGCTGCACGCGTATGGGAGAGTTCCGTACGCCATTTTCCCCCCTTGTTTTCAAGGATCCCGGCATGTTCGCTTAGTCGTATTTGACTTATAAGCCATGCCTTATCAGCCAATAAATAATATTTTTCTCTCATATCAAACTAGTCAACAGTATTTTCAGTCATGGCAAACAAGCCCAAACGAAGACGGGTGATGGCACGCGAGCGGCAGTGCGTCCAAGTAAACGAAGTCACACGACGTCCGCATCAGTCAAACAGACGTACAATTCGCAGATGGCTCAGTTGATGAGGAGTTCTCAGCAAGCCGACGACGACGCAAGCTAGACGGGAAGCGAAGAAGTAAACAAAAGCAACGATAGGTTTGGTTCGATGCTGCTGGCAGCCGGAAATCTGTGCTGTCAGCCGTATTTACACGAAGGAGCTGTTGATGGTACAAGTCAACGGCGGTGTGACAGCACAGACTCCGGTAAACGGCCAAGGGTCAACCCAAGTGAATCACCGTACCAATACATATATCCGGCCGATAGTTGATTCACACACAGGCACACAGCGATCGATCGATCGATGTCCGCCATGGCAGCCGCTAACGAAAGCGAGCAGCAGGCTGCTTCTGGTGCCGGTGAGCCAACAACACCGACCGGCCCGGCAACTTCCTGCCCGCCGGTGGCCACGCTTGATCCGCAGCTGTTGATGGCTGCTCGCCGCGGCGACATCAAGCAGCTCAAGGATCTGCTGCTGCTCAAGGACGGCGACGAGCAGCAAGGCTCATCGTCCGTGACGGCGGGAGCACAAGACGCGATAGTGGAAGTCGATCCTCGACCTCCTCCTCCTCATGACGCTGTTGCACCACCCTCCTCTGGATCGTCGTCACCGCCGCCGCCAGTCCCGGTAGTCCTTGATGAGGATGGTGTGACCATGGATGGGGACTCCCTGCTGCACGTGGTTGCGGGATGCGGGGACACGCAACAGTACCTCGACTGCGCCAAGATGATGGTCCGCAACAAGAAGCACAAGGCCGGCGGTGGTGCAGATGCAGTGCGCCTAGCCCTGGAAGCGCGCAACCTCAAGGGCGACACGCCCCTGCACTGCGCCGCCGGTGCTGGGAACGCCAACATGATCGGATGCCTCCTCACTGATCTCATCGCCAACACCTCCGGTGACGAGGCCGTGGCAGCGGTGAAGAAGGCGTTCCTGATCAGGATGCAGAACGAGGTTGGGGAGACCGCGCTCCATCAGGCTGTCCGCGCTGCCAACAACAAGGTGGCCTGCATCGACCAGCTCATGGCCATGGATCCCGAGCTGGCCTGCATCCCACATCATGATGAGGAAGATGCTGGTGCTTCCCCGTTGTACTTGGCCATCTCACTGGGTGAACTCGAGATTGCGCGGCACCTGTATGTCAAGAGCAAAGGCAAGCTGTCCTATTCCGGACCAGATGGCCGGAACGCCTTGCATGCAGCGGTTCATGTTCATCGTGGCCAAGGTAAGTAAGATTAAACTAAGCTAGTTTAATTAATACTTGCTATGCATGCACGGTACGTACGTAGTGCTAGTAATTTAATGATCGCATGCACTTGTCTGGCTGCAGCGCTGCCTATGATCTTGGAATGGCTCGTCAAGGACATGAAGCCTAAAGAAGGCAGTAGTAGTGTGTGTCTTGTCTCGCAGCTGACTAGCCAAAGGGACAGGAAGCAGAAGGGAAGCACCCCTCTTCACTTGGCCGCGTCGTTGAACGGGTGGCCAGGCGCGGGGTTTCTTTCCAGACGGTTTCCAAAAGTTTGGCCGACGGCCGAATCAGTGGCTACACTGCTGCTGGATGCTAACGAATCCACGGCGTACCAGGCGGACGACCAAGGATGGTACCCCATACACGTCGCTGCAGCGTTTGACAGCCTTGGCGTCGTGAAGGTGCTGCTGGACGACATGGAGAGGAGTCGTCGTCGTCAGGACTGCGCCACCCTGCGAGATGGCAAAGGACGGACTTTCCTCCATGTTGCTGCCGAGATGAAGAACCACAGCGGTGCTGCCGCTGTGGTTCAATATGTCTGTGGTGAAATGCCACAGCAATTGTCATCGATGATTCTGAATGCGCAGGACAGCAACGGGGACACGGCTCTGCACGGCGCTGTCCGTGCTGGGAACCTTGCCGGCTCCACCTGTCTACTTCGGAATCGGCTGGTACGCTTGGACGTGGCAAATAAAGATGGGATGACACCTCTTGATCTTTCATGGACTACGCTCCCTTCAGGGTTTGGTTATGCATTTGTAAGTATATTATTTACTAATAAGTTGGAGGTTCTACCACCTTATATATCCCTACCCGCATCTCCCTTCTCTTCATTCTCTGTGCACGCCACTAATTTAGGCAAGTTGTATCACCGTACTGCAGAATCCAAGAAATGTTGTACGCCTGTCATTGCTTTATTCAGGAGCTCCTCATGGTGGAGGCCGGCCGGACCTCTACTATGAAAAACACAGCAGCAAAAGAGACGTAGTGGAGGAATCAAAGAAATATACAGAGGCAACGCAGGTGACGAGCATTGTTACTGCGCTTATCGCGACTGTGGCATTTGCCTCGGCTTTCACATTGCCTGGAGGTTACCGAGCAGACGGCGCTGCGGCTGCAGGCACGGCAGTGCTTGCTGGGAGTGGGAAGAGCTATGCTTTCGACGCGTTTATCCTCGCCGACACGCTGGCATTCATCTTCTCCATGGCGGCTACATGTTCTCTCGTCTATGCCGGGTTGCCGGTTATGGACACCTCCATCCGCAACTGGTACTTCAACGTTTCGGCGGTCTTGCTGCAGAGTGCAGCGAGGAGTTTGGTGGCCGCTTTTGCTTTGGCCTTGTACGTCGTCCTGGCTCCAGTTGATCACAAGACTGCAGTTGCTGTCTGTGCTATTGTTTTCGCAACTTCGCTGTATGGGAACACGGGAGCTGTGCAGGTTGCTCTTGTGGCAAACACGGCCCGCACTCGGATTGGAATGCGACGAGTTGTGGTATGCTTTTTCACAGCAGTAATTAGTCTTGGTGCCTTGGTAAACTTTGGGTCCTACATAATAATATTCGGTCTTCCAGCAATTCTCAAGTGTTGGCGAGATAACACTACTTTATAGTATGTGCCAGGATTAATTAGAGCTAGCTAATCACATTCATAGTACCGTACCATTTGTTCCTCTACTCAATATATATATATTATCCTTTGTAACCAGCTGTACTTTTTAGATAATGGAACCAGCTATGTTGTTGTATTATGTATCAATAACTGTTTTTTTATCGGTAAATCAATTTTTTCTTTAAAAAATATAGTTTCTGCTGCATCGCTTGAAAGGTTTCCTGCAGCTTCCATTCGTCGCACATTATAACCGCATCAGGTATACAAAGAGCTACCATGCATCGATTGATTCCATTTTCCTTACCATAATTCTTGGCCACGGTCGCCCGTCCCCTCCGGACGCGGCTGCTCCACTCGTCCGCTCTGCTGCTCGCTCTCTCAAATAAAAAATCTCCTGCGCTTATCCCTTCCGCTCCTCCTCTCGTCGGCTCTAGCGCTCTCTCTCAAAAAAAAAAAAACTTCACTGCGCTTATCTCTTCTGCCTAGATCCGTGCCATCCTCTTCCCACATTAGATTCCTCGCCTCCAAGGTCCATCTCTTCCCCGCCCCGGCACTGTCGCCCGCTTAAGGCTGGGGCCCAGTGGCACCTTGCTGCTCGCGGCGGCTTCTCCTGCCAGTCCTTAATGCGGATGCGGCGGCGCTCCATCTCGTCATCGAGCCACTGCTGTTCACTCCCCATGCCCCCTCCTGGTCCCTGGTAGTGGGCGCCCCCTCCGGTTCCGCATCCCGGCGGTGGTGGTGCGAGAGGACACGCGGCAGCGCTTGCAGCCATCCTTGTTCTCCAAAGCTTGCTGGGTGTTCCCCACCAGGTAGGCCATTGCCGCCAGCAACGTCGTGTTTCAAGTGTTCCAGGTCTATGTTTCAGGTGTTTCAGACGTTTGTTTCAAATATTTTATCTGGATGTTTTAAAAGTATATCTTGGTGTTGCACATGTTGCAAGGCTACACACGCATGTTTCAAGTGTTTCATCTGTTTCAGACTTATGTTGCAAATATTTTATCTGGGTGTTTCAAAAGTAGATCTTGGGGTTGCACATGTTGTGATGAGGACAAGACACCTTCGGATAAGACCATTGATTATAAGGTGAGCTCATTCCTGCATTTGCTCAGTGATTTTTGGTACAATTCACTTGGTTCCACATGTACATGTCTTTATTTGATTGTAGGTACAAATGTGTCTCAACGTACAAGTCTATTTGTAACACCCTCGGTGTTACACTGTAAATTATTTACTAAAACATGTCATGAGCATCATGTTTATGCGATAATGCATCTAATCAAGTGTGTAGATCGATTTCCGTAACCCAAAACGATCGACAGAAATGCGAAACGAAAGTTTATTTGATAGTTAGGTTATATCACTTAGGGTTTAAAACCAATTTTTATTAAGTAAAAGTGCTATAAAACATATATGTGACACCTTAATAAAGTTTGAAGTACACATTTTGTACGAGATAGTGCAACTTTTGTTTTAACGATATAGTAACGTTAGCTAGCATTTCAAATAGCTTGGGAATCGAATTTGAAGCAAATCCAACCCCAAAGACGTAGTCGATTTCTTGTCTAAAAATGGATTGACAAAGCTATGTTTGGTAATTCTTGTAGAGAATTTGGGTTAAGGGGTGATGTTGTATTATGACTTGTTTTAGTAGCCTAATATACCCTCTTAGGTATAGCAAAGGTGGTTTGGGAATTGGATCAACAGTTTAGGTTTCTCGAGCGCTTTAAAAACCGTGCACAACACGTTCTCGGTCTGTTTCTTCGGTTGAGCGCGATCATCAGCACCCGGGGACGCGACGTCGCCCCGTCGGGCGTACTGCGCGCGCACATTGGCACGCTCGGCTACCACGCGGGCCAGATGTCCTTGCCACTGTTGCCGCCCTGGCCGCCTTGGGCTGCCGCCGCGCGGAGCCGTGGCTGCCCGACTCATCCCATCACGCTGGCGCACCGCCCGCTGCCACTGGCGTCGCGTCACCGTCCTGCTCTCTTCTACCGCTGCACCGCGCTGCAGCTCTGGTCCGCCTGGGCGCTATGTGCGTGGGGCCTGACCGCCGTCGCCATGCCAATTATGGCACTGCGGCCGCGCGGGCCACGCCGGTCGGGCGCACACGTCTGTTGGCTAGCGCAAGCGTGTGGGCCTCCCGGTCCTACCGCTCGCGTCCCGCTAAGGCGTGGATGAGCCAAGCTCACTGCCGCGCCGTCTCGCTCTTTTCCTCTTTCCCCCTCTGTTCCTCTCTGCCGCCGCCGTCGCTTTGCGCCCACATGTGCTCCAGAGATAGGTCACCTCTATTTAGTTTGTCTCGTCCGTACCTCTGCCTTCACGTCTCCTCGTCGTCCGACCCCTCACCATCTTAATGACGGCCCGGCCAGGCGCCAATTTGGCGTCTTCCCGCCGATATGCCGTTAAGGCCGCACCGCGGCCATGACCGAGGGTAGGCCTCCCATCTCTCCACCTGAGCCCAATTGCCCGCGCCTGTAGGTGTGCCTTGCCTTCGTCTTCGCCATGCGTGCCTTGGTTTAGTCGCTACCAGCTCCACCCCACCGCTGACTCGATCGCGCCGTCTCGGAGCACCGCCGCATCCCACCACCCGCACGTGGCCAGCCTGGTTTGGGGAACCCCTGGCCAAACCATCACCATAGCCACAACCCAGGTACGATAGTGATGCTATAGCGTTAGCGAGTTCTCCCCGCGGTGGCTGAGGGTGGCCGGCAGGGTCATGCCACTGTCGCGCATGGTCGCGCACCGTGGTCGCCACTTCCGCAAGCTCCGCCACTCCTGTAACCTAGGCTAGTATAGGCGCTAGGGTTCTAGACGGGGGTCGACCTGTTCATGGAGCTAGCACAGGTCTCATCTAGCTGGCGTGGCCATCCATTGCCATCGCCGCCGCGCCGGCTCGCGAGCGGGAGGCCGAGGGTCTTGCCGATGTGAAGAAGAGAAAGTCCCAAGGGTTTTGTTGCAAAGTCGCAGTCTGTTGAAATAGTGCACATAGTGTTAGTAGTATTCTCAAAGAACGTGAGGGCGTTTTTGCAAGTTGGTCGGCGCGCGCGGGCTCCCCCGTCGCGTGGGCCGCGTCTGCGGGTCGTGCGTGCGTGCGCTGCGTGCGTGTGGGCCGCGCGAGGATTGGTTTTCCTTTTTTCAGCAAATTAGCAAATGTTTTTCTGATTTAGTTTTGAGCTGATCTTTGGAATATTATAGTAAATTATGTAGGTGTTCAAAAATAGTGAAACAAAATTTATTTGGTTCATAAAAATGTGATCTGTCTATGGTGTAGTTAGTTTACATTTATCTATGAGAATGTTAGGTTTATTACTTCATTAGGAAAGCTTAGCATTATTTAGATTAATATTTATGGGAATTTTTGTAGCAAATTTATAATAGCTTTGACCATAAAATTTTTATAGTAGGTTAGTTCTATTATTATGTACTCACTGTAATTTTGTAGCCTTGGAATATGTTGAGAAATATGGTAGCTAAGTACTCCTAGTTGTAGTATATAGGAAATCGTTAATGAGAGTAAGAATATATTTTGGTTGCTAAGTATCACTTGTAGGTGAAACCCTGCTGGTTTGATGGTAATGATGACTAGCTTGGCATCTTAGCCATTAGAGTTAGCTTAACAGTTTGATAGATATATTCTTATTTTAAGAGTTGTTGTCGTATTACTAAGTGTTGCATCATTATTTCATGCATGTAGATAACAAGTTGGTAGAGTTTGTGACCACTGGCGAGCAGGAGTACGAGGAGGTGATTGAAGAGTACGAGGAGGAGATTCTCGTACAGGAGGGAGCCCTAGAGCTACCAGTGACTAACTTTGCTGACACCTCGCCTGCCCAAGGCAAGCCCCGGTGCATAACCCCTATTTTGAATAAGCATTGTATATATATATATATATATATCTGTGATGTGCATTTACGTTACAGGCATTTTATGGAAACCACTTGCATAAATATATCTATCTATGAGTCCTACTAGCTTAGGTCAAGTAACTATTATGCTTAGGTTTTTCGGTAGCGTGAGTAACCTACCGTTACTCACAATCGGTGCTTATGATTATCACTCTCATAATAAAATGGTGAAAGGAAAAATAGTGACTGGGCAGGGATATGGTATGGGTATTTGTGGGTGTAAGAGGTTGTGTCCTGCGGACAATGGGGTATAGCTTGGTTACACTGTTTTTCTTGTCTGTGTCAGTTAAGGACCGACCATTGCATTGCGTTCTAGGCAAGTCACAGATTTATTATCCCGAGCATATACTTGTTTACGGGGGCAGGGAAGACTCGTTGCTCTCTTGTCATGGGTTCTGGCTCTTTCCGGACCGACTGATTGGATGCGGGGATGGTGGAGGTCTAAGCACCACAATGAGCCCGGGACTCATGTGGGGGGGGCTTGGAGTCCAAGTTTAGACGGGGACCTAGACCCCTTGATAGGAGAGTGGTGGGTTGGTCCTACTTGTGCCTGGGGTATAATAGGGGCATGTGTTTTTTAGGGTACCCAGCTGGGCACATTGATTCGTGAATCATCGGGAAATCCGGTACGACTTGTCTACAGTCTAGCACCGTAGTAAGAACTGGAAGATGAAAGATGATGAAATGGATCTGTTTGCTCAACTCTTGCTTGAAAGTAGAATAGGTGCTTACATAGAATGGCTAGCTAATGAACTAATCATGATTGCTAATAAGAAATATACATAAGGATTCACTACTAGTATTGCTTTCCGCAAAAAGGAAACCCAGCAAACCTAAAAGCTGATCATACCCTTTGGAGTCGGAAAATTATTCCCACTAATCGGGTAAGTCTTGTGAGTACATTGTGTACTTAGGGTTTATTTACCCCTATTGTAGGTGCAGTTTGAAGATGTACTGTTGTGTGGAGGATTCTTCTGGTGGGCATAGACGGATCCTTGTATCCTACTGCTAGATGTTATTGTATTCCGCTGTTCAAATTCCACACTCTGAACTCTCATTTTGTAATAATGTATTTCTAAGAACTCTGGTTGTATGA